GGTGGTTTGCATACTATCTTGACCCGGCCCAAACCCAACGGGCTGGGTTACAAAACCTGAAAAACCCGGCCCAACCCGCGGGCCTAACAAGTCTAGATCTGGCTTTTTTTTTAGAGAATACTTACTTACAAAATAACTAAGCTATTTATAGTTAAAATAAGTAATCCTGCTATAGTTAATTATCTTTACTTATTTTAAAGCTTAGTTATTAGGTTTCTTATTACTTCCAGTAGCAGATATAGTAGAAGAAATCTTTAAAATAATAATCTACTTTCTCTATTAATTCTATTAGTAAGCTTTCTACTTGGCAGTCTACTGCTTTTTAATTAAATTCATGAATAGAATACAGTGACAAGAGAACTTACTAAAATTAATAGTCTTATTATAGTATAATAATATAATCTAGTTCTATAGAAGAATCAGGAGATAGTAATATAGCTTAGTCTTCTAATTAAAATAAGACTTACTAGACTTCTAGATATTATAAATAAATTCAGATAGAAACTTCTAGAAATTATTATAGAATTTTATTATTAATTTATAAAATTTAGTCTTTATCTTCTCTTTCTTATTAATATTATTATAGATTAGTTTTAAGTACTAGATTATGTTCTCAGTATTAGTATATAGATTATCAGAATTAGACTTAGAATAATAAATAAGATAGTTTATAGCTTTACTATTATACTATCTCTTAATTATAGCTAGATAAAGTATTATAGTAAGGAAATAGTCTATATTTATAGCTAAATAGTCTTATACTTATAGTTTTCAGAATTTAAACAAGACTATATTCTTATCTTCTTTCTAAGTATTAGTAAAGATAAAAGATTTAGTTATCTTAGTACTGTAGTAAGAAAATTTATTTTAGTTTAATAAAATTACTAAAGAGATCTCTCTACTTTATTACTATATCTATAAGATATTTTAGATAATAATCTAATATATCTAATTTATCTTATTAATTAACTTCTATATTATAGTATTCTTTTTTTTAATCTTTCTCTTTAAGTTATTAAATTTCCTTTATAGTTCTATATATTCCAGGATCTTAATAGGATTAACAGTCTTGGTATTAGTCTTGAATTGCTTAATATATTTCTACTGTCCTGCAATAATCTTATCATGCTTAGTAAGCAAGTCTTTATACTTATTATAGTTAAGAAAGAATTTCTTAAATAGCTATTCAGATTTTTTAGTATAGAAATTAATAAACTATTCTATATCCACTTCTTGCTATATATTATCTTCTTTAATTAGAAGAGAAGAGCAACAGGCTGCTTTATCCTTTCTGATAGTATCTACAGAACATATTATAATAGATTATTCAATAGATCTCAGCTTAGTATCCTGCAGATCTTTATACCTGCGGATTTATTACTTCAAAACAGCACTAACACAGCTGCTATATTAGGTTCCACAGCTTCATGTCTAATAACTGCTGTAGAGTTCAAGATTGGGGTCCACGCGAGGTTGGTTAACTAGTCAGGTTAGCCACCACTTTTATATATAGATAAAAAAAGATAGGTAAAAAGAAGATAGTTAAATTATATGATAACTATTTATTTATAGATAGCTATTCCATAGTAGAAAGCTAGATATAGTAGCGTTTCTAACTGAATTCAACTATGGGAGAAGAAACACTATCATACAAGGGTTTGTGTTGTGGGAAGTAGGCCTGCCTAACCACGTGATGTACAGGTCATCACAATAAGTAGGAAGTATAAATAAGTTAATTACTAACTTAATATTAAAGATATATTCTAAGTAATAATTTGAATTAATTATAAAGAACTAAACTAAGTATATAAAATAAGTGTCCTTATATATTCCTTCTTGGAATATAGTGGTAGCTGGGTTGATATACCAGTAGTATATGTGTGGTATATGGTATACTGATTTGTATACTATTTGGTGATCGGTTGTATACCATTTAGCGTGTCACGTGATGTCAGTTATCTGGTCTGACATAAGTAGCGCGGCGGGTGTATCTTAATCCCGGTGTTACCTCAGCCTATCATTCTGCCTCATTTCTCCGCCTCTGATAAGGACGCTAGATAAGGGTCTGTAATAATTTTGTGCCATGACATCCGCTGCGAGTCATCAACTTCAAACACCTCCCATAATCCACACAAAATTCGGAAAAATAATCCAAGACCAGTATGGGATAGCCGGTCGCTGGCTCTACCCATGGAAGTATTGTCAGCCTGTCTAGCTGACTCGTTAATGCGTGGTTCGTGCCATGAACATAGTCAATAGATTAACTTTGACAATACATATCTTAATAACAACAGGAGATATTATAGATCTGACAGTGGATATATATTCTGCAGGGCCTTATTTACCTTCTGTGTAATTTTGGTGTTCATTAGTTGTGGTTGAAGCTCTAGGCGTAGTCAGGTTTTTGCCTATGGTTTGCCACTTGATTCCGCGCCCGATAAGTGCATTAGACAAGGGTCTGTAACAGTGTACAGGCATTGCTGACAGATAATCAGATTCTCAGTTAAGGCCCAGTGCAAACCACAAGCATTGAAGATCTGATCTAGGATTACAGATATCCAGGAGAGTATGCCCCCTGATTCACTGGCCAGGTAAGTCTCTATCAAGTCTGGTGATAGTTATAGAGTAATCCAAATCCACAGGTAACTCATAATCTAGCACAACAACACCAAGGAAAGTAGATTAGATTACAAGAGAAGAATAATATACAGGCTGCTAATCCAGCAAAAATAACAAAAAAGAAACAGAAAAAGAAAAACAGATCTAAAAGAATTTAGGTACTTAGAGTACTACAGAATGACTTAGGGACTGTTAACTGGGGGACAGCCAAAGGAACAGCCTGATGGACTAATCAGAGGTGCGGAGAGCGGATGGGGCCATGTCATGATACACGACACGCATAGCGGCGGCCGGGGCGGAACCGGACATGATGCGCGACACGTATTACCACGTAGACTAGTTCATTATTAATCAGTTTCCAAGTACTTTAGAAGTAGTTACCAAGTAGTTTTGTTAGCAATGTTTAGCCTGCATGGATATATATAGTACGTCGTATACACTACATTATCACAATACTCAGTAAAATTAGTCATAGAATCATTCAGACTCTTAATTTTTATTACTTAATAAGTACTTTAAAAGCAGTTAAACTACTATAAAAAGCCTACCAAGTAATTTGACTAGTTTTGATGGACTGTTATCTTTATAAAATGGTGTGTACATATTGATGGTAAAGGTATTGAAAATAAAAAAGTGGTAAGAAGAATACTCAGGTAACTTCGGTGTGGAATTTGGGGCACGGGCCAGATTCCACATGCCTAACTGCCTGAGGCACACTAGTGCGTCGATGCCAGCTTTTAGCGCGTCGAACCCAACTACTTTCTGAAATTGGAATGGAAAAAAACAGTGAAATTTCAATATTTCGCAACGAACTTTCCGATTTCGAAATTACACCATCCCTACGAAATGTTTGAGGGCGGCCCTTAGAGGGCGGGCACTTACCACCGCCCTCATTTTGCGGGTCTGCCAGCGGCCCTCGGAGGGTCGCCCGCGGGCTAGGGCGAGGTCTATCCCTGATGGCTTTGGGGGACGCTTTTCTCCCCATTAATCCGTGTCGATGACCACCGCATGCACTTGGCCATGCCGACTTTGACATAGTGCCCCAGACTCCTGCGCTTGCTGAGCTTGCACGAGACGCCGTTCTCCACTGGCAACGGGCTCGTATCAAGACAATCTGACACCGTCGTTGGGGCCCCCTCTCGCCCTTTGTCGCCTGGCGACATCGAGTGATAGTACTCGTCCGAGCTCAATAGGTTTTGTGTAGAGCTGTCCACCGTCAGTTGTTGGAAGAAGCCCGTGTCGCGCTGGCCCCAGCACTTGATCAGCAACCCGCTCATGTTCCCCTCCCGTAGCACCGTATACACGATGCTGATCTGCGAACCAATAGACTTCTTCTTGTTATTGTCGTTTGCTTTCTCAAACGGGTATGTAGGATGATCCATGATACCCCGGTGCATCGGCACGCCGAGATGCTGCCGCACGTAGACGTAGACCTGTCTTGAAGCGCTGCAGAGATACTTCTCGGTAGTCGGGTCGTCAAAGAAGGCGGTACGCACGGAGTTGTAATTCTTGACGAGCATGGTGCGCACGCTGTTCTGCCACTCCTGGAGCATGGGGGCGATGTCGATGACCCAGCGGCCGACATAGGTTTTGGACAGGCTGAATAGCTTCCCGAGCGAGTGGGTCACAGCCAGGTCTGCACGCTTGGCCAGATCGCAGGTGAGATGGCAATTCCAGTGTGCCATGAGCTCGCACCAGAGGGCGTCGGAGATGGGGCCGAGGTGGGCCTCTGTCACGATGTTGCCCAGGGCTTTCTTTGTGACGGCGTGTAGGTCCTCTTTGGCAAGATTCTCGAACTCGAGGTGCATGGCACGCAGGTCGAGGGCCTGACAGAGCACATAGATATAGGTGGCGATCATAAGCGAGAGGACCTCGACAGCGTCGGCGGCGTAGCGCGCGGCGAGCAATGCCAGGGAGTTGATGCCTTGGTTGTGCATCTCGGCTGATTGGACGAAGTTGCTGACAGGGTGGGCGAGGTATGCGAGCTCGGACATGTAGGACGCCATGTTGATGTCGACGCCTTTGAAGGCAAATGAGAGGCTAGGGTCGTCAGGGCAGAGATTGGGCGGTAGGCCCTTGCTGAGCATGGGGTTAAGCACCTCCGAGCACTGCGAGAACACCATTCTACCGATATTCTGCATGGCCGTCATGGTCTTCTCCATAGCCGAGGTGACCGAGGCGGCCTGGAAGTTGCCGCAATGATGGACCTCGTCGCTGGCGGTGTCTAGCAGGGGATTGTCGGTTGTAGAGTTCAGCTCCCGTTGGATCTGTAGCGACGCCAGCTCCATGTTCTCGATCTGCGGGCCGATCCACTGCGATGAAGTGCGCAGAGCATATCGGTCTTGTGCAAGTCCAGTACTCTCAGGATGAGAATTGGACACGAGGCCCGAGTCGGCTAGAAAATGGAACATGTTCCTAGCCGCTTCGTGCTGGCCCGGGTGAGGGCGAGCCTGCGCAATGAACGGATGGAAATTCCGTCTAGTCCCAAGCAGCGCTTCGGTGCACATGGCTGTCACAACCTGCGAGAACAGAACGAGTTGATTGGCCTCGTGGATTACCAGACTTGCAGCACCCACGCTGAACGCTGTCCCGTTAAGTAGGCCCAGCCCCTCCTTGGGCCAAAAGGAGATGGGCTGCAGGCCTGCCTTTTGAAGTGCTTGGTCAGCTGGAAGAATCTCATGGCCATGGTCCCGACCACAGTCCACGAAAATGTCAGGGTTCCCCTCCAGTGTTCCAGCAACATACGCCAGCGGGGTGAGGTCGCCGGAGGCGGATATACTGCCACGCAAAGGCACGACTGGTGTAAAATCGTGAGCCAGCAGAGTCAACATGTTGTGGATAACCTGGGTCCGTACGGCAGAGTGGCCTCTGACGAGAGAGTTACATCTCGTTAGCATCGAGGCCCGCACAACGGGCCGTGAAAGACAATGCTTTTTCAGGCCGTCGAGTAGTGGGGACGCGGACTTGCTTTTGTCTAACGGCAGGATCACCGCGGCGTTATGGTGCTGAATTAGGGCCTTCTGCAGCATCTCATGGTCATTCGTCCGCGCATCAGCACTGCCTCCAAACCCGGTATTGACTCCGTACACTGTCTCCCCTTCAGCGAGTTTTCGGTTCAGCAAGTCGACGCTTGCCACCAGCTTGGCGAGAATTTTGTAGTCATCTGTCAAATGTGCCGTAAGTCCAAACCTGCACGCATGAGTGAACGATCCATATGTGTGGGTGATAGTCCTACCTGGCAACAGCTGCCACAGCATTGACCTCAAGCGACTCTCCATCGATCACGATCTCCTGCTGTTTGGAGACCCAGTCCCATAGTCGAGAACACGATGAAAGGACGTGCCCTGTGTAATTTATGGACGAAGTGGAGCCATGCGTACAGTCCTCACAGATGGGCTGCTCCGCCATGGCGGATTGTGAGTTGTATAAAGATTCAACAGGACAGAGAACAGTAAATAGCGAGATGCTTAATACATAGTTTTCGCGGACATATGCCGTGAATTATACCCCAACACTGTCTGCCTCGGTCTTTTCAACCGCGCTACTTGTGCATGCACTGCGCTTTGCATATGCCCAGGACAATGCCGATTTGGCTGGCCTGCCTCTATATACACCAGGCCGTAAGATATTACTTCTCGTCGTTGAAGCTGCCCAGGCCGCCTGACATTGCCCTAATGCGGATAGCGGGTGTTCATTCCAGCCAAAATATTGCTAAACTATATATCAGCAGCTCAATCATTGCTTTGAATCTACTTGTCCTAGCCACAAGTTTTACTGCTGGCTGGATGGGATACATGACGTGCGCGGGTAATGTTTGCAGGCACTTGGCAGGTGTGAATCATCTATTAGCTGCATGAACAGAATATTGACGCCTTTCTATAGTTGCATCAAGTCTGCATGGGTGTGCCACACCCATGCATTCAGGCCATCCAGTGTCTGCTGTTTCGTTGGTTACTCCTTGTCTTGTAGGGATGGCAATTTACCGTATTTAATACAAATTACGGTAAATAAGGCATTGCGAACCGTAAATTAAGAAAATTGGTAATTTACTGCTAAACAAAGCATATTGTATTCGGAATGTACTAAACCGAATTAGGAAGCCCGTTTTGATTTTTGCTGTCCACGATACTCCAGCCCTCCAACACGCTCCAACTCCAGCACTCACAGAATAGTTAAACAGGAAAACCTCATGATCCACTCGGAGTGTGTGGAGAGTGTTACGCCATGAGATAAAAATGTCTTTTTTCTTCAAGGAAAGACTTTTTAATTTAGCTATAGTGCAGACAGGTCTAGTGCTGCCACTGCAACTCGAGATATGCCTTGAGGGTATCTCGCACGACAAGGCACTTGAATGTCCTTCCTATCAGACTCTTCTGGTTGCAGAAATACCGAAATCAGGTCAGAAGAAGCTCTTGTTCAGGCAATAATAAGTGAAGACTCGGCAACTTTCCAAGGCAGATAAGGATGAGCTGGAAAAACTTGCTGGGTTTACCATCAACTGTGGTGCTGAGCCCGATGGCCTGAAAATATATATTTCTAAGCACCTGTAAATCATTAGTTAGTTATGTAAATTATCAAAATTATGTAAATTTACACAGGTGACAGGATATCCTTATCATCGAGGGTTCCATGCACAAATATAAATAATACCCACACTAAGGCGAGCCACTAATCCAAGTCTACCATTGACAAAGGCGTGGCGGCTTTTCTTGTGGAACGTACCAAAGCTGGGATGCGAAACTAATTAGCTATAGGTGGATTCAAGGGGGGAGGAAGTAACATTATCCCTAAAGATGACTGACTCGGTATAAACCATATACCAAGTAGCCTTTCGGTGAAATTTCTCAACTACGATATCAAAGTAGGTTCTATAGCATATATTACAGACAGACAGCAGGAGAGGTAAAAACCCAATCCCCACAGCGTGGGTCCTGCGAGGTAGTCACAGAAGGGAAGAGCTCTGTCATGTTCTTTAATATAGTTACCTTGCTTTTTGTGAGAGATTTAATATATTTTCAGTTAGTCCTTTCTGCCGTGTTGATCATTGTATTGTAATTCAGAGGAATGTTGTTCTTACTCTCATCTGGAAACTTGAGGTTTTATATAAAAGGTGATTATCAGATTGATTGGGAATCAATCTGATTCTTTCCAGAAAAAATATCGTATATGATGCCCTATTGTTTATAAGATCGAGAATCGATTCACAATAATTTTTGATACTCTCAGATTGGTTGCCTTCAGTGGTCTGTTCACCCCTGCCACAGACCACACTAGGTCGGACGGTCATGCACAACGGCAAATTTACGGTGCAACCTCAAAAGAACTACCGGGAAATTGATGACCCCGGGTGTCATAGCGACAGAATTCTCTGCAATGATTAGTCATCTATTGTGTCCTCCCTTTCCCTATGGCATGATGATTATGACGATGATGAATATTAATTTATTTATTTACAAGCCGTTGTATATACTTTTACCGGAACTGGAAGTCATCCGAAAGCTATCGCTTAATGACGACACAAACCCCCTCTCCACCAACATCTTCTCCATTTGCCCTACTCGAGCCACTACCCTCCAATAACTCGACTATCCCAAAGCATGTAGAATGTACGAGTTTCATCTGAGTTCCATCTGTCTCGGAGCTCCTACATGTGTTTACAGCGCGCTCTATTTAGTTCTTCCACGAACTTGAGCTACAGTATCCTCCCAGTGCTCCGACACATCCTTGATCACGTCTGTTCCTAGTCAAGTCAGCTAGCATAAAGGAAAATTGGCATTATATGGCTCACCCCACATGTAGTCTTGCCATTTTGAGTCAGCCCAGAGATCAGGGTTGCGGCCATGTCCCCTGAAAGCTTCATCACGCCGGCGCTGTGCTTCCCCATCGGGCAAATGGAGAATTTCACCCGTAGCAGTGGCACTATCCTGAATTCTCTCCGCGCGAGTCTTGCGATGGTGCTCATATACCATCAAAGCCGTCCAGATGTCCAGAGGAAGAGAGAGACATAAAGTTAAAACGGCTGCATCCTCTATGCCTTGGGCCGCTCCCTGCGCCACATATGGCAACATAGGGTGGCATGCGTCTCCCGCCAGAACGCATTTGTTCTGAAACCAGCGCGGCAGATGAGGATGAATGTACAGACTCCACTCGACAATCTCCTTTTCTGGAACCAAGTCTACCAGCGTTTGAACTACTCTGTTCCACCCCTGGTAAATATGCTGCATTTGCCGTTTACTTCCCATCCTGGTCCAAGTCTCTTCGCCCTCGGACCAATCTCCGGTCTGCGGGTGGACGAGGACCATGTTATAAAGTGTGTTTCTCTTAATGGGATATGCCATTATGTGTCCTCCCGGGCCCATCCATCTTATCCCGACATTATGGTGGATGAGGCCGAAAGTGACGGGGTTGCTTTCCATAGCCTCAGCCGGGATCAAGAGGCGATATGCAGCGTCACCAGTAGATATGTAGCCAGCGCGAGCCCCTTGGTAGTTCATCATCTGTTTTCGGCTACTGGAGTGGATCCCGTCGCAGGCGATTACTACATCACCAAGCACCCACTCCTGGGTGTGTAATTGGATTCGTGCCTCAAATTCAGAGTCCACCGCCTGAACTTTGGTATTCAGTCGAATTCTCACTCCAAGCTCTCTCACTCTCCTCACCAGAATATCTACGAGGTCTGCCCGATGGATCACTGCCAGCGGGGCATGATATTTTTCCTCAGCCTTGAAGAGTTAGCCCGCATCCTATCAGCATCGTAGGGTAAGGCAGAGACCAGTGGCATGAGAGGTGCCTTCCCCAACTCCTGGTCGTCTTGATATCGTCGCAGAGAGTTTTGCGCCAATATGTTTGCCTTACTCATCACTTCCTCCAACACGCCAAAGAGGCGTAGGATCCTGGACGCATTAGGTGCCAGCTGAATTCCTGCTCCAGCCTCTGCTAGTGCAACAGACTGTTCGAAGACCGTGACCTCATGGCCGAATAGTTTCAGTCCGAGAGCTGTCGTCAGCCCGGTGATTCCGCAACCCACGATAAGAACCTTGAGAGGCTTCTGGGGTGGTAACGGATATTCAACATCCACCACACAAGCCATGGTAGTCAATGTTATAAAAGATAGACTGAAAGAGTAGTCACTTGATGTGAAACACCCATGCCGACCGACACATGAGTAATCCCATATATATCAATAAGCCACATTTTCATGACATCACTGCTGCATTGTTAAATGTTCCTTTCCCGCGATTCTGCCAAAGAGATTCCTGGTCCCTCTGGAACTTTGAGAATGTCCATAAAAGGCATGTTGTAGATAACACGTTTTCAAGAGTGTGCATTACTAAGATCAGGGTGATATTCGTGGCCATGTCCGATTACGTACGTCTGGGTGAGTTTTTCAAGGTTTATCTAAGTTCCTAAAATTACCCGTTTTGTAAGTCCAAGGTCATCAGGACGGACGTCCCATGTTTCGAGGAAATGTCAATTCTCTCTAAGAGGGCTTCTCTAGGGTGGCCACATCGACTAAGCCTGGCAAAGGCAACCCTAGGGCCTTCCAACCCGCACGAAGTGCCCTATGTAGTAAGAATTCAGACCACGAGGCTTTACGAGGTCCGCACGAGCTGAGACATGATTCACAAAACGGGCAAATTGAGCGGCAATTTAGGGTGTTGTTTAGTTTCGGGGATGTGGCGCGGACGATGGTGATCTGCTGGAAAAGCGACTATGCGCGATATTACGGCATGCTGTACTACAACGCAATGATGTAATTGTCTTTGACAAATGTTTACACCAAAGGAACCTATGGCTGCCTGGCTCAATGGAGCAAGGTATAAGTATAGCCAGATGGCGTCGATGTTCTACCATAACCGCCACTCTTTGGACTTTTTTTTCCAGATCGCTATATTTTGGTTTTATACACTTGACAACAGAAATGGGTTCTACCTTCAAAGGTGACGTGCAAGCTATTTTGAAGAATGTAGTCAAACAGATCGAAAAATATCTAGCCTCAGATGACGAGTCAGTCCGAGTAGACGCTCTTGAGAAGACCCTCAAGCTAAGCCGTGTTCTTGAAAAGCCAAAGGATGCAGTGTTGAAACTGTCTCTCTCGGTATGTATCGCTGTACTGTCTCCGGCGACATGTGCTTACAAGGTAGCCTGTGCTCCTTATGGCTCTTAAAGTAGGCCACGATCTGAACATCTTCACTTCGCTGACACAATCCGGCCCTGTTACTGCTACGCAACTTGCCGCCGCAAAGAATGCTGATGTCACCCTTGTTGGTATGTTTGATCCTCCATGATTTGTTTCTTGACTGAGACGCACAATAGAGCGAATTCTGCGAGTTCTGGCAACCATTGACTTCGTGGAGAAGCTCGAGCACGGACTGTATGCACCCAGTCTGCTATCATATGAGATGGCTCAGAGGACTACAATTGGTGTGATGGACTCGCTGTAAGCTAAGCTTCCCCACCCACCCGAGCCTCCTCCATCACCTTTCGGCTCCACTGCTCATCATCTCAGTTTCTGTGAATCCCTACCAGCTATCACCCGGACCCCGGAATTCCTCCAAATCACGGGCTATCAAAATCCCGTCAACCCTTATGCCGGCCCCATGCAGTACGCTTTTGGGACCGACCTTGCCATCTGGGACTGGCTTGCAGACCATATAGAGGCACTGAGCCGCTTTAACACGTACATGGAGGGCATCCGGGGCAGTCGGCCTCACTGGGTGGATTGGTTCCCTGTTCAGCAACAGGTGTTGAGAGGTGCTTCCCAAGAGGTGACTCAGCCTCTGCTGGTCGATATTGCCGGGGGTCGTGGTCATGATATTGCGTACTTTGACGAGCGGTTTCCGGGTGCACCAGGGCGACTCATACTAGAGGATCTTCCTTCCGTTATCGATGATATCCAAAATTTAAATTCGAAAGTGGAACGCATCAAGCATGACTTTTTCACGGCTCAGCCAATCAAAGGTAAAAGATTCTTGTCAGCCGTAGGCGGGGGCATGTAGCTAACTGGTCAGGTGCTCGTGTCTACTACCTGAAGTTTATCCTGCATGACTGGTGCGACGAGAAATGCCGGATCATCCTGGATCATATTGCTGCCGCGATGAAGAAAGGCTACTCTAAGCTTTTGATCGAGGAGTTCATACTCTCTGACACGGATTCCTATCTTCTTCCGGTGTTACTCGATATGATTGTGATGGTGTTCTGTCCTGGCATGGAACGGACTCGCTCGCAGTGGGCGAAATTGTTGAAAGTGTCGGGTTTGGCAGTCAGGAATTTCTGGTTTCCCAAAGGAGACGGGCAGGGAATTATCGAGGCAGAACTGGAGTAGTGATAACTGTATATGACAAATGGGCGCGCTTTTCTAGCTGCAGGACCTGAAAGAAGTATTAATCAAGTTTACTGACCTTATGCAGTCCTATCAGCTATGAAAGACAGCAGATCGTGAGCCTTAGCTTCTTAGTTCCTAAACACATTCATGACCGTTCGAACTATCTTCTTCCCATACCGCCTATATATGCAGGGTATTTTGGTAGTAAATATCAAAGGGTGTTCCTGTAGTTAGGTTAGGTTAGGTTAGGTTAGGTTAGGTTAGGTTAGGTTAGGTTAGGTTATATTTAACGGCCGTGGTTCACCGCCGAAGCATGTGACCCACCATCCCCTATTGGGGCAAAGGCCGCCAGGGGCTAAGTCCTGGGTGTCGCTAACTAGCTGCTAGTACTAGTTCTATGTACAGGTAGGGGACTTTGGCGCGTTCACATAGCTGCCGTAGCCAAAAGAATGAGAGAGCCTGCGGTAGCAGGTAAGGAGATAATGCCAGCTGCATGGTCCATCTACACTCCATGACCGATTCTGCCTCCACTGCGTAACTCTTTTTCTTCGGGGGGAAAAGGAAAGGAAAAGACAAAGAAACAGAACAGAAAGTTATGCTATCTCAGCATTGCTGAGATGGGGGTGCTGTGGGCAGATGTCCTCGAAGAAGCGGGTCTCCGATAGCCAGGCTGGCTAGCTTAACTGTGCCTTTTGAGGTGCCTAGTAAGTAGGGGATTGTTTCAGATTGGGGACCTGGAGGTCGTGGCAGGCGTCTCTTTGCAATGCGGCAGAAGAAAAAGTGTATAGGGGATTTTCTTGCACCACAGTGGTAGAGAAGATACGAATCTTCGTGATTAAACCGCTCATGATAAGTTGCAAAGTAACCATGCCCTGTACGGGCTGCCAGGATCCGCGCCAGTAGAGGGCGTGGAGTTCGCAGCTCATCAGGGCACTGGGGGGAGGAGGTAATTAGACCTCGCCATGACCCGCGGGTGACCCTCGCTACCCGACCCTCAACCCTCATTTTTGAGGGTCGAGGGTCCTGGTTTCCTACCCGCAGGTCGGGTCCGTTATATGTTCCAACCCGCAGAGGGTAACCTGCGGGTGACCCGCGGGTTGTCAAACTGGATAAATATAGAATAATCATAAATTATATAATTTATATAGATTTAGGCTATATTTTTATATATTTAGTTTATACTATAGATCTGTAGTTAAGTATCTATATATATAATAAGATCAAGATAAAATAAGTTTTATTTTCTAATTAAAAGATATAGAGCTAGTATTTAATCTTATATCTATTTAAAAGCCTAAAATACTTCTATATTCTTCCTAATATATATTACTATATATTAAATAATAGAAGAATAATCTTATTATTTTCTATTTCTCTAATATCTTAATTCTCTAGTTTAGAAATAATATTCTTTCTTCTTTTTCCTAGAGCTTGCTTACTAGAACCTTAATTTTTAGACTAGATCTTATTTAGAGCTATATTTATCTCTTAACTCTTTTTATTATTACTAATTAAATTAAAATTATTTACTTATATTTCTCTCTCTTTATCTGCTGCTTATATCTTTTCTAGTATAAGATACTTATTAATCAGTATATATTATTTCTTCTTAATCTTAAACTTTAATATATATATAAATATTATAAGGTCTTGGATTATTCTAGAGTTAAGAAAGCCCTAATAATAGTAATAGATATTATAAGCAGAATTAAAAAGTTACTCTATTCCTGCTTTAGTTATAGGTATTAAGAGAATATCCTGTATAAGGCTTGTAAATACTGGAAATTTATATTTAGACTTGTTAGGCCCGTGGGTTGGGCCGGGTTTTTCAGGTTTTGCAACCCAGCCCGTTGGGTTTGGGCCGGGTCAAGATTGTATACAAACCACCCATGGGTCAAAATATATATATGTAAACCACCCGCGGGGACCCACAGCTGTAGATCCTTTCCTAGTAAAGCAATAATTTATATTCTTGATAGAATACAGTCTCTTAATACTGTAATTTATTTATATTACTATAGGTAAATAATATATTTACTGTATTTTATCTTTTGGCAACCTGCAGGTTAACCCGTTGACCTATAGGCTGGAGTAGTCAATAACCCGGCCCGGTATGGACTTTCATATACACAAACCCAGCCCATTTCTTGGCAGGTTGGGCCGGGTTGGGCCGGGTTTCGTGGGCTGGGCCTAACAAGTCTAATTAGATCTATATATAAAAAACTATTATATTATATAAAGAGTTTTAAAGAATATTAAGAAACTGTACTAGATACTAGAGATAGTTGTTAATTGCAGCTCAGAGAGCCGCAGGTAGTAGGGGAATAGCGTGCTACGGCGCCGCAGGTGGCAGGAGCAGAGGACTGGGTTTCTATTGAACGATCTACTACCATACACAGAGGTTGATCACTGGTTTCTGAAGCCATTGGGGTGCGGTAAAGATTTTACCGCAGCGGGTAGCACGTGACCCGCACGTGCTACTATATCACCCGCAGGCGCTGTAAGGTGCGCCTAACATAAATAATATAGAAAGCTATTTAATATATAACTATTTCTTTTTCTAGTTACTAGAGAGTATAAGATTATATATTAAAAATAAATACTATTTATTACTTTAAAATAGTATCTTTAATTTTAAAAGACTCTAAAATCTTTTTAGCTTTTAATTATTAAATAAGTTTATTATAAAAGATATTCTTTACTATTACTAGCTACTTTATTATTCTAGACTTTAAGTATAAGAAGATATTACTTAGATTTAAATATATTATAAATATTTATTAAGATATTTATTTTATTAATATAGTTATTTAAATACTTTATAAAAGCTTAATTAACTATTAAATTCTTATAGTTACTACTAATAATATTAGTAATAACTTAATGTTACAGACCCTTGTCTAGCGCCCTTATCAGAGGCGGAGGATCAAGGCAGAATGATAGGCTGAGGTGACACCAGAGTCAAGGAACATCCACCATGCTACTTATGTCAGACCAGACAGCTGACATCACGTGACGCGCTAAATAGTATACAACCAATCACTAAATAGTATACAGATCAGTATACTATATACTATACATATACCACTGGTATACCAATCCAGTTACCACTATATTCTAAGAATAGATATGTTACGCCCGGGTATTCGGTCAAGAGCTCCTAAGTGTTAGCTGCCTTGCGTTGAGCGATAACTAACCTAACAAGGAGACCTAACGTCTCTGTGACTGTGAACAACAAATGTTTCCGAGTTTGATCCTATCCAGGATCCCATTAAGTGACCTAATCCGAGGTCCAATGGATGTAACAAGGTTTCGTGCGTAGCTCAAGTCCAAAAGGCCAGGCCTATTAAGTACGTATACTTAATAGTTAAGGAAGTGCGAACGAGTCGATTACTAACTTGATACCAAAGGTGTGTCCTAAGTAACTTGTAGTATTGATCACGAAGAACTAAACTAAGTACATGAAATGAGTGTCCTTATATATTCCCTTTTCCGTCTACCATTCCATATACCATATCATGGTAGTTCTCCATGGTAGTTGCTACCATATACCATTGCCAAGCCTTGGTAGTTGGTAGTCCACGATGCTTAGTAAGCCCTAGCGTCCGAGCTAGCTTCATGCTCAATTACTTTTGACAGTCATTCTTGTCCACTGATTGTTGTGTCACCAGTTCTGCCGCTCGTATCCGCTCCCGATAAGTGCACTAGACAAGGGTCTGTAACACTTAATACTAAAGATATATCCTAAGTAATAATTGAAAATTGATTATAAAGAACTATTCTAAGTATATAAATAAGTATCCTTATATATCTATCCTTAGGGTATAGTAGTAACTGAGTCAGTATACCAGTGGTATACATGTGGTATACAGTATACTGATTTGTATACCACTTGGTGATCGGTTGTATACCATTTAGCGTGTCACGTGATGTCAGCTGTCTGGTCTGACATAAGTAGCGCGGCGGGTGTATCTTAATCCCGGTGTTACCTCAGCCTATCATTCTGCCTCGTTTCTCCGCCTCTGATAAGGGCGCTAGACAAGGGTCTGTAACAACAATCTTGACCCGGCCCAAACCCAACGGGCTGGGTTGCAAAACCTGAAAAACCCGGCCCAACCCGCGGGCCTGACAAGTCTAAGAATTACTATAATCTACTAAGATAATTTATTTATTAAAGTTAAGATCTACTTAAATAAGAATATATTCTTAGTTTACTACTATATTAAATTCTAACTAAATTAGAATAGATACTATTTCTTAAGATATTTTAGAGTATTAGTATTTAAACTAGTAATAGTTTCTAATACTCTTAATTATAGTCTATAACTTCTTATTAGATATAGTATTAGAAGTTAATATTAAATCTCTTTTTAATATTAGTTATAATATCTATTACTATTACTAAAGCTATCTTAATCTAAAAACTATTTATAGATTTATAATATTTCTTATAATAGATTACTTTTAGTTAAGGAAAGACTACTAAATCAAGAAAAAAAAGAGTAATAATATATTAGATATCTATAACTATCTTAAATAACTGGATAATAAGGATTACTTTAAATATATTAGTAATAGTAATAATTCTAGAAATCCTAAAAAGAATCTATTTAATCTACTAAAAAAGAATTATATTAAAGATTAGACTTGTTAGGCCAAGCCCACGAAACCCGGCCCAACCCGGCCTAACCCGCCAAGAAATGGGCTGGGTTTGTGTATATAAAAGTCCATACCGGGCCGGGTTATTGACTACTCCAGCCCATGGGTCAACGGGTTAACCCGCAGGTTGCTAAGAGATAAAATATAGTAAATATATTATTTACCTATAGTAATATAAATAAATTACAGTATTAAGAGACTGTATTCTATTAAGAATATAAATCATTACTTTACTAGGAAAGGATCTACAGCTGTGGGCCCCTGCGGGTGGTTCACATATATATATTTTGACCCATGGGTGGTTTGTATACAATCTTGACCCGGCCCAAACCCAACGGGCTGGGTTGCAAAACCTGAAAAACCCGGCCCAACCCACGGGCCTAACAAGTCTATTAAAGATAAAGATATCCCTAAAATATCTGATATTTAGTCTTTAATATTAATAGAGAAGAAGTATATATAGTTCTATAAAAATAATAGTAAAGATAATATATAGAGACCAGAGACTTTAAACTATTAGTAATAATTAAAATATAGAGCTTAAACTATAAATTATTATACTTTTACTAGTTATTAGATATATAATACTTAATATTAGTTTTTTAATTAGACTTAATATTTTTTTCTTAGAGTTATATATTCTAATTTAGTTAGAATTTTATTTACTTATATTTTTAGTAGTTTTTGTCTTAGTATCTATATTTATACTAAACTACTTTAGTAATAAGAATTAGATATAGTCTAATATATCTCTATAATTTATATAGTTAGCTGCACTGGCTTGCTATATATAACCTATAGATTAAACTGTCAGCCCATAGGCTGGGGTAGCCAATAACCCGGCCCGGCATGGACTTTTGTATACACAAACCCAGCCCATTTCTTGGCGGGTTGGGCCGGGTTGGGCCGGGTTTCTTGGGCTGGGCCTAACAAGTCTAACTCTAACTAATATTCTCTTTTTATATAAAGCTTAGAAAAAAAAGATTTTATTATTTCTCTTAATTAATTAACTTCTCTTTTATCTAATTAAGTATTTAACTTTTATAAGCTTAATCTAAATAGCCTATACTATACTATCTATTTCTTTAATTCTATCTATAAGAACTATATATTACTGACTAGAGATATTTATTAAGGAATACTAGTAAAATCTTCTTTAAATACTTTCTCTAGACTTAAAGATATTAATTATACTTAATTATTAGATTTCTTCTTTTTTCCAGGTATTTATAGCTATAACTGGCTATTTTATTAATATAGACTAGATATATCAGAAACTATTTCTTAAATTTAAACTCTTTTATAAATTATATATAGACTTAAACTAAGTAATATTCTTCTTAAAATACTAATAGAGCTTTAATGTCAAAGATATCTACTATTCAGGGTAGAAGACCTGTCAACTAGGTAAGGATACGCAGGCTGGGAGAGAGAGGGAGAGAGATCAAAGGCAGGCAGTAGATATTATTCAGACAGGAGACTGATTCTTGACCTCCTCCTACTACTAACTATTCGCTAATTTATAGCTGAAGATTCTGTATGTAAAGGGTTCAGATTTCCTGTTGAAAACCAAACCGTTGGTGGCCTGATGTTCCTCATCGGTGGCCGATTGTCCATGCACCTGGCTCAAGGTATCCTGTACGGCCATCAGGCCGAATCGCTATTCCATCTGTGACATTTAAATTCAGGACTAAGTTTTTAGAATAATAACTAATAATATATTAAATAATAAAATATTAGTTAATTCTTTCTAGTAGTCTTTATCTAATAATATTAATATTATCTAAACTCTATATCTTATATATATTATTTAGCTTAGTCTAAACCAGCTTCTTAATTACCTTAAAGCAGTTCCGCTAAATAATACTATAGAAATAAAATAGACTAACTGGTAGTTATTATTAATAAAGATAAATATATGATATCAGAAATATAAGATTTCTTATATTTTAAATAAGATATATTTTCTTATAATTTTTATATATAAAAGTCTCTAATATCAGGAGATATTTTAGAATCTTTAAATAAATAGTCTAAAGCTTATATTAATTTAAAATATAAAAACTTAATAGAATTTTATTTTTCTAATACTTTATTAAATAAAGTAACTCTATTTAATCTTTAAATTCTTCTATATATCAGCAGTATATAGCTATAAAGAACTATTACTAAATAATAAAAAATAATATTAAGTTAACTATCTTCTTTATATTATAAAGGTATTCTTTCTCTATATAATAAAGTTATTAAAGATCTGAGATATAATAATATATCTTATTTTTAAGATCTATAATATACTCTTTAAATATCTTAAATAGTTAATAATATAGCTCTAGCAGAAGCAGGCTTTATAGAAAAAGCAGATACTTAAGTCTCTTAAAACTAGCTAATTAAAGCTAGATAAGTATTATTTATAAATAGATAATATACTAGAATATATTTATATAATTAGTATTATACTAGTATCTGATAATAAGTTTTAATTCTTTCTTTTAAATAACTAGAATAAGCTATAGTATAATTAATACTAGAAATTCTTTTAAGAAGCCCTAGCTTTCTATTAGAAATATCTTGCTACTATTTAAGGCTTTACTAACTTCTAAGCTATAGTAAGACCAAGCTTAAAGCTATATAAGATATTAAATAAATATAAAGTATAGACTAAACTGGTTAGTAATAAGATAAGTTAATATCTTAATAGTAATATATTTAATATTACTTAATCTTAATAATATACTAACTTTATTATTTTCTTATAAAATACTATTAATACTAAGTCTCTTTAATTCTGGAGAGATAATTAAATCTACTTTTTTTTAATTACTTTATTTACTTAGGATATTCTCTCTATTCCAGTAATAGATACTGGTATAGAATAACTTTTTAATACTGCTTAAGATATCTATTATTATTACTGTAAGTATATAAAGTCTAAAATAATTTAGAAACTTATAATATTTCTTTATATATTAAGATTTAATTTTAAAGAGTAAAAGAGAAAATATCTTAAGAAATTTTTTACTTTATAAAAGATAGAGATAGAAAAGAAAGAGAATAAAGATAAGCTAGACTATATTAAAATAAAGACTATTAGTAATACTAAGAAAAAAAATAATAGATATAATAATCTAATAGAGATAAATAGTAATAGTAATAGTAATAAAACTAATCTCTAATTACTAGTAAGTAGTATATAGCTACAGATATTAGGAAGAAAGTAAAAGAGTAGAGAGAATAATAGATTTAAGTATTATTAATAAAGTATTTACTATTTTCTTATAATAAAATCTCTCTTTCTGCTTAGAGCTAGAAGAAAAGTGACCATAAATTATAGTAAAATTATTCTTTTAGAGAAAGATATAAGAAAAATACCTAAAATTATAGCTAGAATATATATAACTTATACAGTTACTAAGTTAAGACTTGCTTATACTGTTTAGCCTAGATTAGGCCCCTAATGGGCCCCTATTTATGGGCTGTGGGCCCATGAGTTGAGCCCAAAGCCCATTGTGGGCCCCGAAACCGGGCCCAAAGCCCAGCCCATTTATGGGTTGGGCCCAGTTGGGCTTGGGCTTTCGTGGGTTCTGCCGAAGTCTACTCTCCACCGAGGAGTCATCTGGGGTTGGTTTACTATATTGGGTTGCTGGCCTGTCTTGCTTTTTCTTCCTCTATTAGGAGCGAGTGGCTCTCTGCTTGATTTCTTTCTCTTATTCTCAAGCATAATTGTTGGGTGGTTTGGTAGTACATTTCAGTCTCAACAATCGCGGTGGTGAGTCTTCGTGTTCATCGTGGTCCGGTGGCTCAGGGGTTTGCGTCGCGGCCCGTCCCGCCGGGAGGTGGCCCGGAGGCATTTTTCGCACAATCGGTGGTGATGAACGAAGCGAATCAGACGGATTCCCTGAGAATATAAATCCGGAAAGGTTTTAACACTGTATCTTTCTGAGCTCTTTTATCAACTCTCGCTACCTGTACAGTGTCTCCAGATAGCGGTGTCCAATTGTGTGTGTGTGTATGTCATGTTCCAACACAAATATATAAATATTGACATCTAAGTTCACACCGTGTGCTAAATAGTCATAAAGTTTAGTAGAATTGCCACTCTGAGCAGCATTTTTCCCTTATTGCTGTATTGGATATATTGTCTGCTAGAGGAACAAAAAGAAGTTTGGCAAGAGTTAAAGGAGACTAATTTAATTTAGATAAAAATTTTCTCTACCTGATAGCAAATCACTTGTTAAGGATTAGGTTTAAATAAAAGAGGATGAAAAATAGCCTCAGTGGCTACAGGAGCCATAAGAGTCTTTGGCCCCTGCATTTGGAGTTACCCCTCCAAACTTTGTGGCACTGTCGACGCTGCAGTTGATAGGACCATTGGCCGGATATCCAGGCAGCAAGCGATTTGAAGACCCTGATAATGTCATCCCTAGCAGAAACAGGCTTGATCAGCTCACCTGCAGCCTAAAGTTCTACATGTATGTATCCAGGCAGGCAGGATAGAAATCTCACCTTATCACAGTATTAGTCAATACACAAATGCCCATTGTATCTTTCCAGCCATTGGTCAATTATATTATATCATTTATATGCTATAGTCTTCATGGCACTCTACCCATGCTCTAAGATAGATCTGTGTTTTATTAGTCAAAAAGTACTGGTCTGTCACTATGCCAGCCTCAGAGAATATATAGCTGCGGTCTTAATAATAGAATAAGAATCAGTCTTATTTACGGACTACTTTGCTGATATATCTAGACCGGGGCCGTGATACAGCTGTTCACTAGCTGTTTCAAGATCTTAGCAATGCGTTTATAATCTCCACATTATATTATGTATGTCTAGTTGCCGGCTAACCGAGCGCTTTCTCTAGACGAACGGGGGCCCACTACTAATATAGTCAATATAATATTGATTGCTGTCTAATTCTACCCTGGCTGGCTGGGCCTTTTAGTTCCCAGCCTATTGTCAGGGTGCGGGTTCAGGCAGGCAGGCTGACAGAGCTAATACGCAGGCTGGCTACTGGTCAGGCTATGTACAGGCAGATAGACGAGACGTAGCTTGAGAAGCTACAACAGGATCATGATCAGGCGGGAAGGTAAACAGTCAGGATCTGATATGAATCTATAGGAGACACGTGATCGCCTAGCGGCTTGGCCGGATCACCCACTCCTTCAGCCCCTGAGGGCTTTACCCATTAGTAGTTGAGAAAGAGAAGAAGAAGCAGTCAAGATAGTTGATATAGTCGTCCATAGAATTGAGCACCTATCAGAATGGCATCCGGTCCTCAGTAGGCTACGTACGTGTAGCTGATACAGCCTCATCCTGCCCATCTTTCCCCTGAGATCACAACAGGATCACATGATAAAGCGGTGGGGTCAGGCAGAAAAAGCGGTCCGGGCTGGCACCGTGACACCTATAGGGAATCTAAGATTAAGCTTAGCTCTTTCTTTTTATAGTAAGACTGACTAAGTATTACTTAGGCTGCAGTAAGTCTCTAGGTACCTGTTCTAAAGAGAACAGAAGTATTCTTAGGCCGTTTGAATAAGGATAACTCTTGTGATCAGAGACTGTCAAGTGATATGCAACAACTACTCTCTAACTAATTCATTACTGATTAATATAATGTCAAACTTTACATACCACTAACGTATTTCCCGGGCGAGTGGGCCACCCGGGCGAGCGGGCCACCTCCGCTCTGATCCCACCTCTAGGCGAGATTCTAGGGTCTATATCAACAAAATGATTGCATTTCTATATAAAAACTAATTACTAAGTGGATTAGGACATCTAACCCTAGTATGTCCCTGAATATGGCAATTAGAACACTGCAGGGGGGCTCGTACGCGCGGCCCAACTGCAGAAAGTGCAGGATCTATAGAAAGTGCATCTTGAGCTTCATTGACCTCATCTTCGCGCTGAAATCGCTCCAAGCCTTCCTGAATAGCTGAGCCCTCTTCAATAGCTAGCTGTCTAGTAGAGTACTTTCGCTTTTGACCTTTCTATTCATTTTTAGCATGATGTTTGTGTATTTTATCCCGCGCAAGAATAAGCTTATTAAGTGTCAATTTATGACCTTTAATAATCTTGTCTAATCGCGTTTCTAGTAAAGGTAAAGAACTGTAGGCATGTTCTTTAAGCAGTTTCCTTACTGCCGATGCCTGCTTCTCTAGCTGCCTAGTAGTATAGGGCGTTTTAGGCGCTGAATTGGTGGACTGACTGCCAGGTGGTGTAGGGGTCTTTAGTCGGACATCTAACTTACCAAGTACCCTATCTGGATCAAATGGGACTAGGCCAGTGCCTGTAAAGCTATTCTGAATATTTTCAACTGTAAAAGCGCTTTTGCGAGCTTCTGACAAGATCTTTAGAAAATCAATCTTATTAATATAATTGATTCCTAAGTATGCTTTCTGCTCCACTAAGCTCCTGTACGTGCCTTTTAGAGACCGAAAACAGCCTATATCTAAAGGCTGGAGCTTATTAGAAGAGTGTGCAGGCATGCAGATAGGAATAATATTATTCTCACTGCAGATTTAGTTAAACTGAGGTATAAGATGGCTGCCATGGCTATCAAGAACTAGAAGGCAGTATTTCCCAGTTGTATAACCAGTAGTTGCAGGAATAAAGAGATTTTTAAGCCAGTGAAGACCTATCTCATCAGAAGTCTATCTATTAGGACTAACTTCAATCCTGCTATCAGGTAGGAGCTTGTTATTTTGATACCAGCCCTCTATATAGACCTTTTCTTTGAAGATAATGCATGGAGGAAGCGCCCATCCAGTTGAATTAATACATTCAATAGAAGTAATCCATTCCTGATTACCTGGCTGTATAAGAAGCGATTTTCCATAGTAATCAGCTCTAGTAACTACTTAAGCAGTAGCTACTAGATCTATAGCGAAGCCAGTTTTATCAAAATTGTAGATATCTTCCTGTGCAATCCCATGTTGTATTATAGTGATCTGTACACGGTCAAACCACTCCTTAATAACTCTAGAATCTTTGTATTTCGCACGTTAATAATCATAGTGTTGAGAATAGCAGGTTTTTATTTCATTATGTCGTTTAATAAAGCTAGAGACCCAGTTCTTTCCAATAGTCTGAATAGATACTGTACCGCGCGCAGCAAGGAGAATATTGGCTATTTCTTGTATATAGGATAGTCAGGGAGGTGCTCTATGTTAATCTAGAGATAAAATCTATTGTACAAGCGAGTCCTCTTTATTCTGGGTTAATTTATGGCTGTTGGCGCGTGTTTCTGCGCGTGAAGTGATCCTATTAAGTCATTATTAGAGAGTTATACGAGACACATTATAGACGCGTGCCACTTCGCGAATATTGTAAATCTCCTGCTTTTTTAAAGCAGAGATAGCAAGTAGTAGTCTTCCCTCCTGCTCAGCTAAGTCTCTTGAATTTTGACGCCCTTTTGGAGGCATGGTTAATGGTTGAATTGAGTGAGGCAATAAAACGCGTAAATTTTTAATGAGGTGGCCCGCTCGCCCGGGTGGCCCACTCGCCCGGGAAATACGTTATTCCCTTTTCAACCTTAGTCAGCGCTCGTTCGGTCAATTAAGGTTATATACGTTTTAATGTCGCCATATTGCGTTATTTCAATTGGCACTTATTTCTTATGTATTTAGTCTTGATTATTCGCTTAGTTAGGAGAATCAGACCTTCATAGATTCATGGAGTTGATACTAGTCAATACGCTTAGCGAGCAGGTCAACATATAAAATAGATTGTATTGGAGTGATAGACAGGCAAGATAACTCGATAGACTGGAGTGCTTTAACAAGAGGCCAATAGAATAAATAAGAGAGACTTTATTGGTCTTGGCTAATTACTATCTAAGCTGCTGTCTTTATACTATTTATCTAGGTTTTGATTCCGTTCAGTGTCAAACAGCTATTGGAAGATATAGAATATAAAGGGAAGCAATTCTCTAGTATAGAAGATATATCAAGCCGCGCTAGCCAATGAGAAACTGACTAGCACAGGATCTTTCTCTTACTTTAATATTATATTGTAAGTCTCCTACCTTGTGGCATCAGTAAAAGATTACCATGAGAAGTATATATTGCGAGGTCTTGTCAGCTGCTGTTCTAATTATCTATAGTCCTAATCTATACTGCTCTCTCTCTTATTGCTATATTGATTGCTTACCCAGCCTTATACATGCCTGCAACCGGCAGAGTCTTGGCTAGGGATGTCCTACAGAATTTGCAGAGTTCTAATTGGATTCCCGCTTTGATTATTAGCCAAGATATTATCTTAACAGAGAAAAGCGCCAGTAACACACGCCCTCTCCTAGATAGCTGTGACTTGCAGGATTCTGTTATCCTGACTACTCTAGGGAGATGCTTACAGAGCTCCGGTCAGCAGATCCTGTTATCACTTTTTTATGATCTGGTTTCCATAAAGCTAATCAGCTGGTGCAGTTCCTGGCTGGCCAAAGAAGCGCCCTTTCCACGACTAGTTTAAGAAATGTGTGCAGTCAGTCACTGGCAGTGCTATAAAATGTGACTAACCCACATTAATCTTGGCAAGCCCTCTAGTAGCGGATAGCAACACGAGTAGCGATATCTGCTCAGTCGCAAATACAGTGCTAACTAACTTTCTGATAGGAAAAGGTGTGTATCCCGTGAAGATATACAGCCAGATAGGATCATGTATTGATTACTGATATCAGCACAGGCATAGAGGACCTGGCCGGTTCTGTCTGTGACATAATGGTTACCCTGGGCGGGGGAATCATTACTAAGGATACCGGGGCAATTATCTCTGCTATCACAGTTCAGGGAGACCGTAAAAAAGGTCTCTCGATTGTCCACAAACATCGCAATCTACAGATTATAGGTAGCACGGCCAATGTGGCCGGGATCAATATCAAATCTAAGCTGGTCGATCTCTGCGTGCAGGTAATCAAGTACCAGACAAAGACATGTGTGACAGACTTAAATTATGGGGCTTTCAACCATCAGGTGGACCACGTTGCCAAGCTATCAACTACAACATGGAGGGACAGTAAATGTACTGTTCAGGCAATCTTTGTTATTGGCTTTGGTATGCCTAATGCGTTCCGTTAGCGACTTGATAGGGATTCCATATCTCTAATACAGTCTCATATAATTTTTAAATCAGTATTCAAAAATTCTTCTAGTCTGTTCTTATCTTTTTTTCTATTAAGAGATTGTTTATTTATAGATTCATAAAAGCTTTTTATCTTTATTTTAATCTATAAGTATAACTTATCGGTATTTTATAAAGTTCTCAATATCATGATTCATTAATTTCGTTAGAGCACTGGGTGGGCTCTGACAGTATTCTTTTTTACTCTGTGCTAATCCGGAAATTGTGCAGAGACAATACCACCGGATTCTCTGTGATATTTCCTTTTGAATTGTTGTGATTTCAGGGGCAAACGCACTATATGATGTTGGAGACATGATACTTCTTGATAGTTCCAGTCTTTTAGATGTCCTGTGTCAAATCAAGCTGCCCTCTCTCTGTCAACTTGAATTAGCAAAACGTTGTCTATCTGTCACAGATCTCGAGCAATTCTCCCGCGAACACGCAAACACACGCCATTCCCTACGCCTTGAGGAGATATGGCTATCAGCAGGGACAATTCATGAACGGGATATTATGTCATAGTCGAGTACCTTTAAACAATTGTTGACGGGTAAGCTGCTATTTGAGGGTTGGGAACTTGGGAATGCTTATCATCGTTAACAAATGCAGCCAGTATGAATCTGAGGGATTATTAACTGGAAATTAGACGAGATATCTTCCGAGTCATAAATTGGAATTTAAAGAGAGCTGTTACTGATTACAACAAGGTTAACTGGATCCTTTGCTCGTCCGAATCTAATGCATGGAATACTTTTGAGAAAGAGCTGCCACTGTCCCTCCCCCTCCGCTTTAACACTTCCACCCTTTATTGTACAGTAATATGCTATATAGAGTCTGGATTCTATCTTTCCCTTTGTTGAGATCATGGAAGTATGTGTATCTCTGTCGAAGATAGCATGGGCCTTTGTCTGAAAAACATTCACCAAGTAATAATTGACTAGTTACCATATAATATCTAAGCAATCTACTAAACCTAACCTATTATACTGCGATTGTTGTTTATCGAGATGGAACAGGAAAAACCAAGCCCTGATGAGAGGGGTTTGTATCGACCAAGCAAATAGGATGCCTGAAGCTATCTCATTTAGTGCCTAAACAATAAAATTCTAAACATGAGGAACATAATAAACAATATTGTGTTATAGTGCGTAGAGCCACTATATGGCTATCATTGAGCTTTGACGTGCTTTTTGAGGCATGATTAGTGGTTAAATTGAAGTTTTTGACTGCGGTGAAAACGCGTGCGTGCCGCCGCTCGCTTAGGGGATACATTATTGGCTAGTCATAGAGCATATTCTAAATACCGCTAAAAGGTAGCGATCCTACGGGTAAGGGGATACACACTACTCCCAGGCATGGGTATGGTACCTATCGGAACGACGATGTTACTTTTGAATTGCTCCTGATTACATCCAGAGTAGCAACAGTAGTCAGAAATAAAAGTGGAACAAAACAAAATATGATATATTAACAAGAGAAAAGTCAATAAAATGAAGAGGACCCAACAAGGCAGTGGAGCTGTTATTTGGGAGAGCTGGTCATAAATTAAAAATACTGATAGTGATAGACTTGAGCTGTATATTATCAAATTCGATGGAAGCCTTTTTTAATCCAAAACTCGATAAATCGCTTTATCAGCTCCGGGCTTAGCCTGGTAAACTGAATATCTGGTCGATCAGCAAGCACTTTTAAAGTATTGGGACATTCGTAGGTAGGTGAATATTTGCTAGTCTGGAGACGTGTTGCGCCACGCAAAATTGGCTCAGTCAAGAGCGGCATCAAAGAAAACAGTGGGCTTTCTTTAAGAGCCTTCCATGACTTCAGCTTACCTATCCAATCGTCGTAAGGCACCATTTTGACTGGATACCCTGCTTCATTGATAAGCCTATGAAGTCTATCCATATTTGTAATCTTCTGAGGATCTGGAGAAGTGAGATTGAACCTTCGACCGACGTTGTCGTTGTTAGAGGCAATATAGAGAAGAGCGTCGCAAACGTAGTCCACGGTGACAAATTCCATATTCTGCTCTGGCAACTCTGGCCAGTACCCTAGTTGAATACATCCAATGACCATTCGTGAAAAGAAATCATCCGGGTTCCCGACCGCTGTCTTGCTGTCACCAACAACAAAACCGGGTCGGTATATGGTCACTGGGAGCCCTCTATTTTGGAGCCGTTGAACCATCTCGTCCGCCACCCACTGGCTTTGAGCATATCCGGTGTCAAAAGCCAGCGACGCCAGATGAACCTTGAGCGGACCATCCTCAGAAACTGCCCTGGTTCCCAGAATAAATCCCGAGACGCCCCATATATCAATACTTGATATGTAATGGAAGGCTTTCCGTCTGCCATCTACGGCCACACGAAGCGCGTTTTTTGTTCCGATAACATTGGGCGCAAAATGAGTTTTATACGGCTCGCACCAATTAACCTTGGCAGCGATATGGAACACCACCGGCGCCCAGTTGACAAGCCATTGATAGTCGGTTTCTTTCATGCCGAGCTGCGGACGGGTTATATCCCCATCCAACGCGATAACCATCGTCTGCAACTTAGGACCAAGCTCAACCTCATCCCATAAATCATACCTTTCCAGATTCTTCCGTATTCTATCGAGTGGCGAGATGCCCTTATTAGGGTACCCCCGAGCCAGACAGGCCACTTGCTTGATATTTGGCATCTTCAGTAAACGGTATAAGATCTGGCCACCGAGGAAACCCGTTCCACCGGTCATAAAGACACGGCCTTCTGATTTCCAATTGGGAATAAGTTCAAATTCATCAGCAAGATGACTATCCTCTTCAAACTGCAACAGTTCCAAAGGCCCATAATTAGCCTTATAGTCATAACTTAGCAACTGTGCTAAAGCACTAAATGTAGACTGTTTGCGAAACTGGTCCATTGAAAGCGGGCGTATTTTATTGTTTATAAGACCAAGAAAATGGGCGGTGTCCAAGGACGATAGCCCAAGGGATTCAAGATCGTCATCAGGGCCAAAGTTTTCAGCCATGGGATGTATCTCCTGAAGCAGTAAATGAAGTTTTTCAAGCGTTCCCTTAAAGTCGTTTGACGCTCTCTCATGGTCCCGTTCCCCAGAAATTCTATATTCCACTGAATCTTTTAGGGCCTCAGGATCACTCTTACCCTTTTGCGAGAGCCTGTGTCGAGCCTCTTCTTCTAATGCCTTACGGTCAACTTTCCCATAAGGTGTCCGTGGAAATTCGCTTGTTTGCAAGATAGTGTCAGGCAGCATATAGGGGGGTAGTCTCGATGAGAGCCATTCAATCATACAGTTTAATGTACTCTCATCGTTATTTGCCTCTTCTCCTTCCATTATAATAAAGGCGGCTAAGAAATCCTTGCCCATCGAGGACTTATCCAGTTGCAGCTGTAAGACAGTGGCGGCCTTCACCCTCTCATGCTTTTCTAGAACTTTCTCAATCTGTTCTAGTTCAATGCGGTACCCCCTATGTTTTACCTGATTATCCGTTCGTCCAACATAATCGACTATTTTACCGCTCTCTCTCCATTTACCCAAGTCACCAGTCCGATATAGGCGTACTGTTTTTCCACCAGGAGAGCGGTCAGCAGGAGATGGTGACCGGTTTTCTTCACTTCCAGAAATATTTATCTCGATAAATTTTTCATCATTCTCTTTGGGCCGACCTATATATCCAGCTGACAAGCCTGGGCCTCCAATGCAGATCTCTGCTGGCTTTTCCTTGTCGTAAACAGGCTTCTCATCATCCCTGTTCAACAGGTACAATTTGGTCTGGCCTACGGGGGCACCGGCACTAATAGTCTCACGCTGCGTCTCCTCAATTGTCACACGGTGCAGAGTAGAAACGCATGTCGCTTCAGTTGGCCCATAACCATTCCAAAGGTTCTTTGGAGGGCTATTGCTTTCAAGTGCCTTCCGCATTGTCATGGCGTTCGGTACTTCTCCAGCGACTATCATATGACGAATAGGGCCAAATACGTCAGGAGAAGAGTGCATCATGATAGCGTTGAAAAGTGATGTAGTAATTATCATCACAGTCACCTCTTGTGCTTTTAGGAAGTCTTTAATACCGAAGGGGTCTGTCAAAGTTGTCTTGGGAATAGGGACGACAGTCGCCCCTGATAGCAGTGAGACCCACATCTCAAATAAGGACAAATCAAACCCCGGGTTGTTGAATAAAGAGACATTATCCGTTGCTTTAACAGAGACTGGCAAGCAAGTTGCAAGGTGAAGAATCGCCTTTGAGGGAATCTGGACACCCTTGGGTTTGCCTGTAGTGCCCGATGTGTGAAGGATGTGGCTACGGTGATTCTCATCGCAGCCAGCTATTATAGAGACATTCTGATTTGCATCCATTTTGGCTTTTCCTGAAGGGTTCTCTTCAGTTAGAATGATCTCGAACTCTTCAACCCTCGACGCCAGCTCCTTGGTTGTAATAACAACTCGAAGACCGATTTCTCGAAGCATATCCTTTAGCATTATATCAGGCACACCTGGATCAAGTGGCACACATGTGCCGCCAGCACGGATTACAGCAACTTGAACAACGGTCTGCTCAGCGCCAGGTCCGAGAAGAATACAAACCGATTCTTCACTCTCGAGTCCCTTGTCCTGGAGGGCTCTGACAACAATATCCGCCTGGGTAATAAGCTCATGGTATGTGAGAGAGACATTTTCGCCTTGAACAGCAATAGCATCTGGTGAGCCATTGGCTACATCGCAGAGTCGCTGTTCCATGCCAAGAAGTTGTAGACAGAAAGTCGACCCTAAAAGTGGGTAAAAGAAAAGAGGTCCAAATGAAGCATAACTATACGATTATGAGCTATCACACCATCAATACTGCGATAGATTCTTCCAAGAGAGAGACATACAGAATTTACTCATCTGGAGAAAGATAACGTTATTGTATGTTCGAGAAGTCTGTAGGTAGGTCTTCAAACTTCCGGACGTATAGATCTGTACGTCTGTCTTCTTGTAGTATTCCTAAAAGCTCAGCTGGTGATATATTTACCCTCAAGTTCACACGGCGGTTGAAAAATCGCTTGATATACATAGTTACCTAAACTTTGTAGCGGTTTAAGTACGGTGATTCTATCCGCCACCCGAATGTGGCATCACATGTCTTCTCCTGCAGGTATACGCCCAAGGCAATTAAGACTTCGCTTTTTCAAATGCACCCTTTTTCCACACTTCGAATTGCGCCTAGACTTGTTAGGCCCAGCCCACGAAACCCGGCCCAACCCGGCCCAACCCGCCAAGTAATGGGCTGGGTTTGTGTATACGAAAGTCCATACCGGGCC